ACTTAACTGTTAATGATGTTTGCCTGCAACTTTTTGCAATATAGTATGCCATATTCTATAATGATATTATATTACTAAAACTAGAATACTCAGGACTTAGCCACGAATGTACAGATAATATAAATATTCTAACAGAAACAGGAATCATATTGTTACAAGTCACAGTTGTATTAAAACCTGCAGCATTAAAAAAAATTAAATCCCTTGAAACACTAGGTTTTAGGGCTGTGTAACATTGCAACAAGCTAAGCAGAATGGAGGTTTTCTTAATTAGGTCTGAAGTAGCTGTACTTGCAGTGTATGATACCACTGCTTCCATTTTCTTCTGTTAAAACGTGAAAAAAATAATTCAACTGATTAGCCACTGTATTTTTCAAAAGTCATGAACTTTCTTCCTTAGGAGTGGGAAAAAAAGTAAAAGTAAAAAGGTTTTTAGCTTGCATGGTTAAACTGTACTAACTCTAAAGGTCTAGGTCTTGGGGGAATAATAATACTTCTTCAAAAATTATAGATGGCAAAATGCTTTGTTCATCTAAAGTAAAAACCTAAAGTCATTACAAAAGGTCATAAGATTTGTTTTCTACCCATGAGGAAGGAAAAATGCCGACAACACATTCCCATGTGTGTATTTCTAAATAATTCTTAGCACATAGGATTCCTCTAGCATTACAAACCAACTTCATCTCCTATATTAAAACTCATCTGGAAAAAAGGCCGTTTACACTGTTTATAAAATACTGTCACATAAAATGTGTAAAAAAACATATTTCACTAAAAATAGCTTGCGTAAGTAAGGGATTAGAGTAGTTTCTACTGCTGTAATTGTTCCTTTGTAGTTTTTTCCATGATGTTTTTTGAACAGTGTTTTTAACTATGTTTATTAAAGTCAGCACATCAAAAAAGATCAAAGAGAAAGCTAGTGAGAACCAAAGAAACCCCAAGTGTGTTGTGTTGTCTCACTCGGGAGTTATGCAGATTCAAGTAAACAAGTGCAAATTGTTGAGGTTTTAATGAAAATTTTCTACAATTATTGAATCTGAAGTCATTCTATATAAAAACATCTGTACAGCAGATGGCTATACTGTAAAAAAGGCAAGCAATGCTCCTTTTCTTCCTTGGTTTTAACAGTACATCTGAGATGACTACTTTTGTCATTGTGCTCAGTTTGGTTCAGCAAATAATTCGTAAAATGCAGCTGCTACAGATGGTCACAATAGTTATATGACTGTAAAATCAAAGACACAGTAAAGTATTTGCGTATTAGTTTCATACTATAAAAAACTGACATTAACCCTGTTCAGTTCAAAAGGTATATCTATGAAACTTTTAAAGAAGAAAAATAATGAAGAACTGACATATATTAAATACTCCTTGCTCTCCAAAATCGGCTTCTGTCACAGCTACTGCATCTTAATTCAGTTAACTTACATGATACTTTTACATTTAATAAAACAAACCTTGCCAGTAATGCAGTATTTTTGTTTATTTTGATTACCCTTAAGAAAAAAATAACAGGTAAGTTCCTTCATAGTATTTTAAGCTTCTTTCCTAAAGTTACATTTCCACTAGGAATGCTACCAGCACTTTTCTTTCAAATTAACTAAAAAATACCTTTACATTTATTAAATATTAGTATCAAATACAGCTTTTTGTGTTTTTGAGTTACTGAAACTTAAAACAATTTTTCATTTTGCCATATTGAAATTTGTAAACTTGTGTGTAGGTGCATTCATTTTTCCTATTACAAAAACAGAAAGATACATGGGCTGTAATTGGAGGATCATGAAAGAATCTGTTGATCTCTATGTACTGCTTGGTTAGGGGCGTTTTTCATGTTAAATAACTAACTTTGATTTTTTATTAGATTTCAGCACCACTATCACGTTATTTAATACTGCTGGCAAGACTAAAAACACATTGAAGACTTGCGTATTATTTGCAGCATTTAAAAAACAAGTCCGTCTTTTGGTGCTGCCCAGGAGGATTAAGAAGCATAACTATGCAGCAGAATGCGTCTGAGGCTTAATGTGCAAGTTAAGGTAAGTTCATCTTTAAGGAGGATGCAAGCTCTAGGGTAAATGATATACACTGCTGAGTTTGCCAAATTGCTATATAGTGCAGTGACTGAGAGGACTTGGCTTTGATATCTAGAAGCTTGCTGCGGATACTGTAATGTACCATAGGAAGGTTTAATGTACAAGTGACAGACGGGACGGGATGGAAAAAAAGAGGATCAGAACACACAGAGAAAGCTAAAACTATGTAAAGGATATTAAAAATGCCCTTTACTCTACTTGATTGCAGCTCTTTCCATGCTAGGATTGAGATATGATTGGAAAAGCGTGGGAACGCATTCACTGTTCCTTTTTGTACCTCACTTTATTTACGGATAAATCAAGAATTTCAGCCTCCAGCACTTTCACAGCCTTTCATGTTCTATGAACCTTAAATTTTTCATTTTTAACTTTTAAAACAATAAAAAGGCACTGAAGCTTGTTGGCCTGAGCAGAACTTTTCTGATGAAAAAGAAATAAATCACCTAGCTTGGCCCAAAACTCATACTTCGCAACTTCAAACTACTTTCTTTATCTCTTAAGCTACTCTGTCAACTGCCTGGATCTGGCTCACTTCCAGAACCTGTAAACCCATGATTCTCAACCAGGGTGTTTTGACATCCTAGGGTGCCTTACGATCCTTTTAAGGGTGCCATGGATTGCCACACAATGTTAGCACTATTAAGTGTGCAAACATGATTTACAAGATAAACCCAAAGATTTAATGCTTTTAACACTATAGATTCTTGACCTGTTGTGGTCTTTCTGAGCTCTTTGCAACAGATTATTATTATTATGAGCTCTTTGCAACAGATTATTATTATTTTTCCATAGTCAGAATATGAGTTTTCATGGGTGCCTTGAATCTAACAAGGGGTGCCTTAAGTCTAAAAAGGTTGAGAACCACTGATCTATATGTATCATCTAATTAATTTTAGTAAGAGACTAACCAAATAGCTTATAATATAATTCAATAATTTCTCAAACCAAAACTTATGTTTGGTGTTTTCCCAATTTTATTTAAAGTGTGAAATTCCTCATTTTTTTATCTCACATTTTACAGTACAGAAAATGCAGTCACAGTTGAAAGTTTCATTTTTGGCTTGTGACTTTTCCTCCTGCTGAGAAGAACCAGTGTGTACAAATTTAGATGTTTATATACCTACAGTAGAACTCCCACAAAGAACAACTACACATTTTAAAGTCATTAAGGCTTATAAATAGTAGAGTTTTCAAGTTTTTCTCTTATGTATGCAGAGTGTGTTATCAGAATGTCTTGTCCCTGTAGGAAGTATTTATCCAAAGATTATGGTAATTGATAATAAACTCTACTAATAAATAATTATAGTGTTTTGCATTCATATATCAATACATCCATGGTTCTCAAAGTACTTTTCAAATACTGTTAAACCGTATAAAATCCCTGACAGCTCCAGGAAGTACCAAAACTATTTTTGCCAGTTTACTAATAAGGAAACTGAGTCAGATTAATTATTTAGTTCCAGGTCACACAGTGAGCCCAAGGCAAATCCAGAAAGAATGTACAAGAATCTAGTACTCAATTCTACTTATTGTGTAATGTGCAAAACAGAATAGGATAGAGCAAACTTTGCTTTTCTAATACTGATGAATTATTGTGTAAAAATTATAGTTCTAAAACTTATAATAGACTGGGAACCAAAATTCCAGTCCTCTTAAGGACACTTTGTGTTGTATAAGCTATGAAAAGGCTGGAACTGCTAGTGGGAGGTTCTTGCTGTGTAGGGGAGGAAACACTGATTCTTGGAGGAGGTATGTGTGTGGGCTGGCTGAGGGCAGTACAAACTGGGGAGACAGAAGGGCAGAACTGGTTATACTCAAATCTCTATTGGTGCAGGGAGCCTTATGTCAGCATTATAAATTAAGGATGTCCCCATGTAGACCTGGATCAGAGGAGTGTAACTAGATTACTGAATCCTATTCCCCACCTCATGCACAGTATTAAGATCAGATATACAATCATGGATTAAGCACACTGGATTCTGCTACAGATCTGCTGTGTAACCAAGAGCAACTTAAAACTCTGTACCTCACTATCCCCATTTTAAAGGCCAGGTACTGACATTACAAGGAAACTGGTATAAGTGACTGGAAACCAGTCTACACCTGTAACCGAACAGAAATTCAGCATACTGGTTTAAAAATGGCAGAACGCAGTCTAAGGTAGACCTGGATCGATGTCGTATCAGATTTTATTCAGTTAGGTTAGACTGGTCTCTTGAACTTCTGTATGAGATCCCCTACTGACTCAAGTTAGGTCACTGTCCACTTGCATCCCACGCTGCTTTGCAGCTCTCCACTAACCCCCATCCCCCCTAAGGGAGGTGCACTGCTCCAGCCAAGCAGCTAGCCAGCCCCATACCAGCAGAGAATCTCTCCCCAGCCCCGCATCCTGCCTCTGGCCAGATGAGAGCCACAAGGGTGGTGGTGGAGGGGAATGGAGGATTTTCTTGCACAGACCCAGCTCAGCTCTCCTAGCTCCAAGCCAGCACTGAATCTCTCTGCTCCTCCAGCTCCTGCTAGCTGTGAGCTAGAGCCTGATGGGGGTGGAGGACAACGTGGGATGGAGGCTTCTGCTGCATAGACTTGGCAGCCAATTGGGGTGGCCCACAGACTCAGCAGCCAATTGGGGTGGCCCAGCAACTCAGCTGCACTTGGCAGTGGGGAGCTCACTGGGGGTTGTGCAGGGATGACTTCAACCTGGTGGCCTTGGTCAGTGCAGGCAGCCTGCATGCCCCCGCACCAAAGAGTGAACGTGTGTTCTGTTGTTTCCCAAATTAACCTAGGGTGCCTGTAACTTAGATTGCTTCTGCCTCAGGCTTTTTGAACAGCTGTACCTGGTCAAAATGAGTAATATAATGTCACTTACAGAAATAAGTAGCAATATATATTTTAAAAATATCTTACCTGGAGTTTTATGCCCAGCTTTGATGCACAGGCTTCCACTGAGGTTTGATAAAGATGCTGACAGGCAAGGTTGATTAGGGTGTGGAACGGTCTCCAGAGAAACAACCAATTGAACAGTATGAATGGAAATTTTTTGAAAGCAGGAAACAGCTCCCCACAACTTTTCTTGGACAAAAACCTTTTGCCCTTCATCAGCATGTACTACAGGGAGAGGATCCTTTATATAGGACAAGCTGCGTGCCGATGTGTCATCTTTGCTTGGAATAGCATCGGTTGATACAGAAGTCTCTTTGCTGGTCTCATTATCATTTGGATTCATGATTTTTTCTAGAAAATTATTTATTTGATCAAGTTTGACAAAGCTCAAGTTTGCTTTCAATGGCTTTGATACATCCACATTGATGTCAGCTGCGGAAAAGAATTAAGAAAGGCAAAAACATTAACAAAAGTTGACATACTGCAATTATTTTAATACAAAAAATGCCTTTTAATTTTAAATCTAGCAAATACGTATAGCAATATTTCTTCTAGGATTCATTTATGTCACTGTATCAATAGTAAAACACAAGAGAACAGCTTTTCCCTAAATAAACTGGCTTTGACGAATCACTAAAATTGTTAAAGAACAGTGACCACTGTTTATGATTTGAAGGAAGGAAACCTAACAAACCTACATTTATTTCCTTGTATTTTTTCAGGCATCACCATGGACTTCTGAAAACAGAGACCTAATCTCAGCATGTGGGAGGATAAGTGTATAAATCCTTGTCCATCACAATGAAATATACTCCTCCTTCCCTTCAGTTTTAATCACGCAAATATAATGTATATAAACTCTGAAAACCCTCAAGCCGACCATGGAAATTTTCACCACATTTAAATAAATAGATAATGTATACATTTTTGTTTTTCTCTCAGTGATCATGTAATAATTCTTAATATATTTTTGTGCTTAAATGTGAAATACAAAACAAACTTAGATTTCTTTGCTAAAGTACTGGAGGCAGAAGACAGCACACAAATAACCTTTTAAAATATAGTTTTCCTTTCTGTAAAATCCTCGTAATATTTTCTGGTTGGCTTTTCTTGCCTTCCTTTTTTGTGTCCTTGTGTGAAAAGGTATTTAGCAGAATTTGCAGATTTGTTGGACTCTGCCAGGGCCACACTGTGCTATAGCCTCAACTTGCAACCTACGGGCTGCCAACTGTGCACGTTAGCACCTGTGCCATCCCAGCCCCCTCTGGTTAGCTGAAAATCTCACAGTCCATCATTATGAGGACACTCAAATACTACGGAATGCACCGGTCACAATGAAATTTCTGGTAGTTGTGATGCTGCACTCTAGCAAAATACCAAGAAGGTTACTGCACAGCTGCCATGTCGAATTTAGCTAAAAATTATTTCTGTGTTACTAAATGCTTCTCACAGCTAGCTGGTGATGGAATTCTGCAGAGACGTCTAAGTTTAATTGGTTTTAATTTTTGCTTTGAAATTCAGCTTTTACTCAGTACTAAAGCAAAAGCTTCTTCCTTGGGAGGGGAAAACCTTTTTCACTTTGCTGGTGTTTGCAGCTGCAGAACAAAATCTGATCACTTTCATTTATGCATCTAAGCTGTACAAAATGTTAACAGTAAATGCAGCACCACTTGAATCCACATTTACAATAAATTCACACTGGAGACAATGTTTGTTGGAAAGTTCACACAGGCTGATGAACCTTTCCATCAAAACTGGGCTAAGTCTCAAATAATTCTGAAGTAACTACTTGTGCTTTTTACTCAAAACCACGTGAGATTTGTGGTGCAGCCAGATGAACCTGACTCCTCTGCTCTTTATGGTCAATAGAACTTTCTGTTGCAAGTCAAGGGGAAGGTTGAGGGCCTTACACTCTGATCAGGAATGCTTAACATTAATAGAGATGGCAGTGAATCTGAAGCACATGCTGAAGGGCGTCCTTGACTGTGGGCCTTAGACACACATCCTTAAAGTTATTCCACAATGACAAGATATATACTTGCTACTGGCTGGGTCAGACTTCAATGATGTCTATAGGGAGAAAGTTCAGGATCTGATACAAATAACATTTTCTAAGAAAAACAGTACTTCACTGGCAGGAGTTAGCTTAAAATTAAAGCTAAAGAACCTCTAACACTATTTGAAAAAATAACTTTCTGAAAATATTTCCTTTTGTGCTTAAACTTTCCATGTTAAATTGAAAGCTAGAGCAAATGCTATCTGAGACTGGGAAATACTAGAGAGGCACATACAGAAGTCAGAAAGATGGGCAGAAGATAAAAAAATAACACCCTGCCCCCCCCATCAAAAGAAAAAAGAAGGAAGGGCATGCTATGACTGTAAGGGGTAGATTTTTAAACATATTTAAGTTCCTAAAGAAACAGATGGCGTGATGTAGCTGTGATGTCCCAGGAATTATGCGAGAGTCAAGATTTTCATGGGTGAAAATTTTTTTTGGACCAACTGCATAGCAGGGATAAAGACAACCCTGCATTATAAATCTTGTCTAACTTTATCATGACCATGAAGTTGGTTCAATACAACATATCACCCACGAAAATCCTTGCTTCTCCCATAGGCTAGGTACAGACATTAGACTTTTACTAGTATAAGTGCTAGGAAACCGGTTTAAACCCTTAGCAGTACAGATGTTTAGTGCACACAGACTGGTTTAAAAGTGGCAGAACCCAGTCTAAGATAGACCTGGATCAATGTGTACTCAAACTTAATCAATTTAGGTTAGATCAAAGAATCAAACTTCTGTACCAGATCCACTAACAATTCACGTTAGGTTGCTGCTCGCCAGGATCCCAGGTGCCTTTGCTAGCTCCCCCTCACAGTGAGGCATGCTACCATTCACCCCATGCTTGGCTGCTCAAGCTGAGCACCCAGCCAGCCCTGCTCCCGGGCTGTCAGGGTGCCTATACAGTATGCAGCTAGGCTGCTCCAACATGATGCAATTACAGTGCGTCAGAGCAGATTTGATTAATTGAGTCTGCTGGGGCATGGTAATTACTGTGCTCCAGCAGATTCCAGTGTCACGTGTTGAAAAATGGCACTTTAACTTTGATGAGCTTTAGTTAAATCACCCCCAACATGATTTTTCAGTGCAGGGACGCTGATACACGTGATGCTCTGAGCACTTTATTTAGAGTGGCAGAGCTGCTCTAATTAAAGCGCCCGCCTTCCCCCCCGCTCCACACACACTCCTGGAGTATGTGTATAAATACCCTCACAGAGCCAAGTCAGCACAGTGGCGGATGATAGCAGCGGGGGAGAGGAAGGGGTGCTGAGCTTCTTTGGGCTCCTTTGGTTGTACTTGCTTGCAAGGGGCATAGGGGTACTTGGGTGGGTGTGTGGGATCCCACCCAGCGCCTATGCCCTACACAAGTGGGTGCAACCCTAGGGAGCATGACTGAGCTGCAAAGGATGGGCCAGCTGCTTGCACCTGACAGATGCCTGTGGCTGATGATGACAGAGGAGGGGGAGGGAGGTGTGCTCCCTCATACCCAGCAGCCAATCAGGGTGGCCAGGTCTGAGCTTGGCAGTCTCCGGCTGTCTGGGAAGCCCACTTGTAGGCAGCCCGAGTGCCACCCAACCTGCTGGCCATGGTCAATGCATGCAGCCTGCATGTCGTTCCCCAGCCCCAAGGGCAAATATGTATTTTGTTCACCCCAAAATAACCTACGCCACTTGCAGAAACCTGCATAAGCTTTACTGATGCTGCCTTGGGCTTTTTGGATGTCTTCACTTAGTCATAAAGAAGCTAGTGGGCACTCAGTGGGATTTTCTAGAGCACTGAGATGTCTAACTTCCCTGGAAATCAATGGATCTTAGAAGCCCAGGTGCTTCTGAAAAACCCATAGGGTACCTACCTATTTTTAGGTACATAAATATATCTAAAAATGTGGTCCCAACACTCAATCTTTACAAAATTCATCATTCCACCCCTTTCATTATGCAGAGGGAGAATGACAAATCAGGTTACAGCCTCATGCGTCAAGAGCCCCCCAAAGCAATGAAAGAAAAGACAGAAAGAGACGTTCTAAGTAAATAAACACATTTTTAAAAAAGTGTAAAAATGTGTGTGCAATATTTTCCAAAACACCTGAGTAACTCTTCCCACTGGGATTTGGATTCATAAACTATTAAGGCAGTTCTGAATTTTTTAACCTATTAGATTAGCTTTATGCATCTACATAATGGCTATATAGGATGAAATTAAAACATGTTCTTTGTACAACTCTGTAAGTAAATATTAAATGTAAATGGCAAGGAGTAACCTCATTCATATATATTTCACTTCTTTTTCAATATCACATTTGATATGATTCTTAATGCTAGTATCATATTTTATAGGCATAAAGTATAAATGTGCTATAATACTTATCTTGAACACAAGTGACACACTAAAAACCTAGCATGAAGTGCATAAGAGAGCCCTAAGGAACAGATGAGGAATTGTCCAACAATGCTCTGTTGGGTTCTTTAAGATAAAGACAAAAGTGCTAATTAGGCCAACTAGGACTGAGGTGCACTGGCAGCACTGGGTAGGGAAACTTGCATAGGACCTGTCTCAGTATGTCTGTACTTAATCAGTGCCATTAGTCACTTAGGCTAGGAACTGATATTCAAAATGCAAGAGCCTGATTCAATCTTTTCAGTTTAGTCTAACCTGCCTAGGTTGAACCAGTTGGTAACAGGTTCAACATCAACAGGACAAACCTTCTCTCTGGACCGATGAACCGTGAGCACATGCCTGAAGTTGCTCAGGCCAGGAGCCAGGGAGTGCTAAAGCATGCCCTCGGCTGCAGGGAAGCTGTGTTGGGAGGGGCATGTCCAGGCTGAACTGGCCAGGGAGGGGTTTCATTCCCCCCCCTCTATCCCACCAGCAGGGGCCTGAGCTGGGTCTGCCAGACACTCCCCCCTTGCTGCTGCAGCAGTGGGGCACCATGGCCTCTAAGGCAGATGGGGGCAGGGAGGAGGTTGTCTCCCCTCTACCCCTATTGGCAGCTGGGTCTGACTGCTGTCACTGCCACGCTTGCTCCCAGTGGCAGAATAAGCCCCCTGCTGTCCCCTCTGCCAGACACCGGAGGTAGGAGGAATAACCCCTGTCCTTGCCCCCCTCCCTTAAGGGCCCTGCCC